AACTAATAACACTAAACACATAATTAACAAAAAATTACTATTTTAATATAACAACTAAAACTTATGAATTTACTACGTAATTAAGCAACATTTTCTAAATATTTAAGTTAAACAAATTATTTATTTACGAATACCCTAAAATATTAACAAAAATTTTCCAGTTATTTAAATCTGAAACAATACACATAAATATTCTTAACAATTAACAAAATAAATATTTAACTACCAAACAAATTATTTATAAATAATTAATAAAAAATGAATTAAATAAATATTTTTCTTTAGAAAAAAAAGGGTGGCGGTGGGTTGGATCCCCACCCTTCTAGTTTGGCGAGCAGTAACCGGCCGGCACCCCATTTGACCAGGCGAAACTTTTGCTCGCTAGCCCAGTCGAGTGGCGAGCCTATTGTTTGCCAGTGGTCCACATGCCACCCATGAAAGGGTGGCGTAAATTTTCTTCGCAACTACTTTTCTTATAAAAAAATAAAATAAAATTTAAGTTTTTCATTTCAATTTCAAAGGGGAAAATTATAATTTTGAGGCGCTCTGTAGCAACATCCTACCTAAAATATGCATCCTTTAAAAAAGAACGAACTTTTCTGACTTTGACATCCTAAATTGTCTCTTAATAGTAAATCACAATTATTAGTATGTTTCTTGAATTTCCTTCATCAAATGAATTCTCCTTCAAGCGATCACAGATTGACCAAAGAAACCCATATTTTACACTCATAGCTAAAGAATCAAAGATAACAGAGAGAAGACAACTGAGGATAGAGAATTTCAAACATATAGCTAGGTTTTAGAAGTCTTCCTTTCCAATCTCCAATTCAATTTAGCAGCCACCGCTTTTTGTTTTGTGTTTAACTTTTAACTGTATTTGGGTGATAAAAAAGGACAAAGTATTTCAGGCGTGTAAGGTTTAGTAGACTGCCCTTTGAGTTGTAGATATGAGTTTCTGGCTTCGATCTGAAATTTTATGAGGATTTGAATTCAAGAGCGGAGGATGGTACCAAATTCAACTAAAAAGGGGAGGAAAGAGGAAGATATGTTTTGACCTTGGAGGCGCAATTTTGGATATAAACCTATCTTTTTCTCTGGATGCTAGATTCTGTTCCGGAACTGTCACCAGCCTAAAATTTAAATAATTAATGGAAAGTGAAAAAATTCTTTAATGACAAGAGTAAATTTTAATATTTTTTTTTGAGACTTAAAAGATTAAAAAACAAATCAAGTCACAAAAACTCCTTATTTGGATGGGATGATCATTAATTTTGTTGATTTTCTTTTCTAATAAAAAAATACTTCGATGATGATATATTGATAGATAAACATTTTTTCTTCTGACACGAAAGACCAAAAAATAAAAATTGTCAAAGGGAAAAACAAAAGAGTAGTCCTGATGTATTAAGTAAATTTAATGGAGTTGTAGGAGATATTTATAGGAACTATTTTTAGAATAAAAGTTAAAATAAATAAGTAAAGTTATTTGGCACGTATTGCATCTTTTGGAGAATCGAAGTTCAAGACAGGTGATGGGTGTCGAGATCACCAAAATAAATCTTCTTAAAACTTGTATTAAGTGATAAGAATGGTCAATCCCACAGAGACGAGAAACACTTGATGAAAATTGGGATCCAGTACAAGAGAACAAAACATAAGTAGAAATAGCAAATTGGCAAGTGAGTTTATAACTTGGCAAAGTGATGGCAGTCTAGAGTCGTCCTCCACTCTCCTATATATACATATGTATTGATTCTTTTAGCTCTTTATGTGGTATGAAACTGTATTTAATCAGACACATAAACACTGTAAGGTCACTTCCAATGTTCCAGACAGCAGTCCTAATAGTAACCAGTAAACTAACTTCCTTTCTCGACTCGAAATTACTACTAAGCCATTAAGATCTTCGAACCTTATGATTGCCTCGTGCCAAACAACTAACTTCCGTTGTTGTTTGAAATCTTGGGCTGTTACCCCCTCGTCACTCGTTAATCCTAGACGTTCTAAGTTAAGTTTACCCTTCCGAGATTCCCCTAACATACAAGCACAATTAGTTTGAATGGCCTGTTCAACATAAAAAGATTATTTAAACTCTAGAATTAAGCATACAAATATCATCCGAGAGTATGAATCAAAACATAATTATATAGAGTAGAATGATTAGAACCTAGAAAGGAGTTTAACTACTCATAGAGTAGAGCTAAAACACCACAAAGTTCAAGTGTTGAGACTCCATCCTGATTACAACAGAAAGAAAAGAAAACACAGAAAGAGTAAAGTCAAGGAGTGTGGTAAAGTGCAACTGACTACGCAGAGTCAGCTTCTCACTTCCCCAAGAGACACCCCTGAGTCTACCTTCCAGAGTTATATTCTGTTTCTTCCTAACTGAACTAAACACTACATTACTCTACTTCTATGTGTATTCTGGTCTTGATGCCTTCTTCTTCATGCTGCTGGTGCTGCCTTTTATAGAGGTTGGGGGAGAGATCTTGCTTAGCAATGTTGGTCTCCTCTTTACTCGATGTGTTTTATGCAAAAAAAAAAGAAAAAAGAAAAAAGAGGAGACTCATACTTCTGCCAATTCCCCCCTTACCTCTAATCATCTTTTAGAGAGTTTTAGTTGAATAATTCAGCTTTAAGGCACATCAATCCTTCTCCAATGTCAGCAGCATCACTTCATCAATGGCTCTTCTTCTTTAGCTTGAAAGGTTTGCTCCAATTTGCCTCTCTTCCCATCGGATTCTTCCTCTTATTCAGTCATTGCACTTCAGCCCCTGCAACATCTTCTAATTTGACCCCCGAAACTTCACTATTCTGCCACATTTTGACCACTTTTTTTGCTCATATTGCATTTCAGTCCCTGAATTACCATATGTCACCAAATTAGCCTATAAACATATAATTCTGACCTTATTGACCTATAATTAAAATATAAAGAGGTAAAATAGATGGCTAAAGACATAGTACAAAATGCACTCATCAATAGGTATAGGGTCTTTTGTTAATGGATCAAAATGGTTTTCCTTATCCAAGGAAAACATAAAGCTCTTATACAAAAGACATCACTATAGTAGTTTTAGATAGTTTTTTATTTTTATTTTTATTTGAGAACTGATTTGGGATTTTGCATAATCTTTGTAAATCAGTTCATAGTTAAATTTGATCATGCATTGAACTATCAAGGGATATTAGAAAATCTTTGTGAGACAGTTCACAGCTATAGAATGTTCAAGAACCGTCACAGAGTTTTTTAAAAAACTTTTGTAAGACGATCTCTTTTTATATTGGGTAAGTTTTAAGCAATGCCTTTTGTATTTTTTACATTTAAATCAACAAAATCGGAGTCCTCCCGCTGGTTACCGCCCTGGATTCTCCTAAAAAAAAGTAAAGTAATTTGGCAAGATTAGTTGTATATTTTTTTAATATATAAAGTCTTACCCGTCAAGTGTCACATGATAAAATGAGGTTAAATGTTTTTTTTTTTTGGTTGAACAAGGGCAAAACCTGGTGGGGATTGTACCCTTTTTATTATAATAAATAAAATGACTACAAGGAGTTGTGCATCAAACTTATAAAATATCAATTACAAACATGAAAGAAAATTATCTATTCCGTAGGTATGATGTGTTCCTCTGATCCAAAAGTAATAGACCCTTGGTATCTCTATAAAAATTGTCAAAAACCTTTGAGCAGCCTGCTAAAGTCTCACGTGCCAAACTGTCTGTTACTGCATTGGTATCTTTGTAAACATGAGTTATAGTATATTCCCTTTTCTGCATTATGGCATTTATATCTCTCAGCTGAAAAAAGTATTTCTAACGAAGTATGACCAATAACCAATGAAGAGATTAAAATATTAAATATTCTAAATTAGTTTTTGTTTCTAATATTATAAAAAATAGTATGACTAATGAAGTATCTTTAACTTAACTTCACAAGCTTTTTAAAACATCTTTCTAAAATAAAGTAATACACTTATCTAAAATAAAGTAAAATAAAGTAATAGAGTAATACACTCATATGATAAAATAGTGAAAATTGATGGTATAAAAAACTCTCTTGCTCCTAGCTCTTTCTCTCTCATATGCTCCCCCACCTCTCTTGCGCCGGTGAGCCATTGATTCCGGTCTCCATGACCGGAGATCAATCTGGAGAGGTCCCCACTGGGCCTCCTCGTATGTTTGCAAATTTTTTTTTCAGAAATCTACGGATATTCTCATGAAAAAGGCTCTCTAATAAAGGAAGTGAAATTCGTCAATGAAGCTGCAGTGTTAGAATATGAAGATGACGAATACGATAAGTTGGTGGCTCCGCATCAATTAAGCTTGATCGGGAAGTTCTCTTATGGTAGGCCTAAGATGGAGGAGGTCTATAAAAAATTCAAGAAGTTAGGTTTTCATGGATACTATACCTTGGGACTTATGAACCCTAGGCATATCCTCATTCGATTTGAAAGGGAGGAGGATTACCAACGATGTTGGATGTGAACATTTCGGAACATTGCTGGTTTCTCAATGAGGATTCTCAAATGGAAGCCAGGATTCAAGTACGAGGAAGACCCTCCAATTGTGCCAATATGGGTTTCTTTCATGAACCTTGAGGTAATCTTCTCTATGGCAACCGCAATGGGGAAGCCGTTGAAGGTAGATGCTCCAACATTAAATATAACAAGGCCTTCCGTAGCCAGATTTTGTGTGGAAGTAGACCTCACCAAGGATTTCCCTAAATCCGTTAAGATTGGGAAGAAGGGCAAAAAACATGACTAAATCTTTACATATGAGCATATTCCACATTATTGCTCTAAATGTAGCAAGATCGGTCACAAAAAGGAGAATTGCAAGGTTGGAATTCCGAAGGCAGTAGCAAGCAAGAAAGATTTGGATGGTGTTAAAAGCAAGGGGGTTTCGAAGGTGGCCGCAAAGGATTCAAACCCTAAGCTCTCGCAACTTGCGACTAAGCCCTTGCAGCATGTGGAAACGAAACCCTCACAACCAGCAATGACTCAGGCTGCAATGGGGAAAACTGGACCATCTTCTTCAGGGTTAACGCCGGCTGAAAAGAGTTCTGTCCCTGTGGATGTTCAGAGTCATGCGACTGTAGAGAAGGTCACAAATGATCCTGGGAAAACAGCCACAAAGGAGATGGAATCTTCTGTTAACGCACGGCCGCCAATGGATATAACAGATTCTCCGTTCTTGCGTCAATTATGGAAATAGATGATGAGATTGATTCGGATGATGATGATCTTATAGAGCAGGTCTATGTTGAAGAATCTCCTGGGAAAGGGGAGGAGAACACAATGCTGAATGCAAATAGAGATGCTTCGAATCTTGCACTAGCTCTCATCGCAACGCCAGCGCAGCTGCGTTCAACTATGATTTTGGATGACAATGTCATAGGCCTGCGCAGCGATGCTGGGGAGGAAGATTACGGGGACGAAGGCAGGTGGTTTGAGGGTGAGAAGGACAATGCATTGGTACTAGGAGATGTGCAAGGGGAATCTTCTATATCTAGAAAAAGGGACCGAAAAACAAAAGAGGAACAGGCAAAAACGCAGGCTGGTTTGGTCTTGCGATGGTCAGCTCGCCTCAACTGAATTATTGCCTAATTTTTTTCCAATGATTAGTGAGCTAATTTGGAATATTCGGGGTATTAAAAGTCAAGAGTCACAGCGGCGGTTGAGGGTTATACTCCGAATGAATAATGTGAAGATTTTAGTTGTTTTGGAGCCGATGCTTCAAGTTAATAAATTGGAGGAAATAAAATAGGAGTTGCTCTTTGATGTGGCTTTTGCTTCAGGTAACTGTAAAATTTGGGTGTTTTGTATGAAGGAATTTGATGTTGCTTTATTAGATGATAAGGAACAAGTTTTGCATTTTGCGGTTAAGCATTCTTCGATTCCTAGTCCCTTCTTTTTGTCGGCTGTTTATGCTAAATCCACCAGATTGGGGAGAATGTGTTTGTGGAGGGATTTGGTGGAATTTGGGCAAAAGAATCCTACTGTTCCTTGGTTGGTGGGTGGAGATTTTAATGTGATACACTCCCTTAAAGAATATTCGGGAGTCTCGGTTCAAAACCATTCCGCGATGGAGGACTTCAATGAATGCATTGAATCATGTGGATTGCTGGATATACCTGCTGTTGGGGAAGAGTTTACATGGGGAGGAACGAGACAAACGGGGTGGGTGAGCAAGAAATTAGACCGGGTGTTGGTTTTGGAGGAATGGCAAGACTTTTTTCTGATTTCTTCGCTTGAAAACCTAAGTAGAATAACTTCGGATCACAGCCAAATGCTTCATATGTTTGCTGTGCAAGGTGAAAGCAAACCAAAATTGTTTCGTTTTCAAAAAATGTGGCTTCATAGAGCGGAATTTATGGATGTGGTGAAGGAGAGTTGGGAGCAGCCAGTTTCAGCCTTCAGAATGATTGCTTTTTCCCTTAAGGTGCCAAGACTGAAATTGCGACTCAAGGAATGGAATAAAAATTTCTTTGGTGATGTGTTTGCAAACCTAAAGGAGGCTGAAGTTAAAGTGCAACAAATGGAAACTCTATATGATGAGGTGGCTTCTGAGATAAATAGATTTCATCTTCATCAAGCCAAAGCTCTTCTCTTGCTAAAGCTGAAAGAGCATGAGGATTTAATGAGGCAAAAATTTCAATTAAAATGGCTAAAAGAGGGAGATGCCAATACTTCATATTTCCATGCTTGATTGAAGGAAAGTCGCCTAAGACAAAGCATACACAAAATCTAAGCAAGAAGTGGTGAGACGTTGACGAACATGGCGGACATAGAATGTGAAGCGGCTGACTACTTTCATGATCTTTTAAATGATGATGCAACCTTCCATGAAGAGGCTATTCGGGATCTCTTTTTGCAGCATGTGCCTACTATTTTGGAAAATGAAGATCAAGATTTGCTCCTAAGGCCGATTACCCTTGAAGAAGTGAAGGAGGCGGTTTTTAATTTAAATGAAGATAGTGCACCTGGTGCGGATGGGTTTGGTGGATTGTTTTATAGGAGCTGTTGGAGTATAATAGCTAATGACTTATGGTCGGCTTGTCAAGAATTCATGCTTGATGTTCCAATTCCAAGATCTGTTGCTAGCACGTTGATCACTCTCCTTCCAAAAAAGTCTACGGTCTCCACTTTTTCAGATTATCGGCCGATAAGCCTTTGCAATTTCTGGAATAAGGTATTTACCAAAGTGTTGGCTGAAAGGTTGAAGGTTGTCTTGCCTAGGTTAATTTTTGAGGAGCAGTCCTCTTTCTTGTCTGGGCATGATATTATGGATAATGTTTTGTTGGCACAGGACTTGTGTCAATTCATTAATCATAAAGTTGAAGGGAGTAATATCGTTATAAAAGTAGACATGATGAAGGCATTTGACAGAGTAAAATGGAGTTTCCTGGAGGGTATTCTGAGTAAATTCGGGTTTCTATTGCAGTTTCTCAGATTGATTATGAATAACCTTAAGAATAGTTGGTTTTCAGTCTTAATCAATGAAAGCCCTACTGGTTTCTTCCAGGCATCCCGTGGTATTAAGCAAGGGGATCCCTTATCTCCCTACTTGTTTATCATTGTCTCGGAGGCTTTGACAACAAGGTTGAAGGCATTGGTAGAAGAGGGGAAGATAGCTACTTATGGTACGCCGGCCGGTTCTATGGTGGTAACTCACTTGTGCTGTGCGGATGACTTGGTAATAATAACAAAAGGCCTTCTTAGGTCCTTAAGGGAAATTAACTTGTTTTTATGACAATATGAGCTGGCTACGGGGCAAAAGCTTTGTAGAGGCAAGAGTTTCTTTGTAGCTTTGGAGAAATGTAATCCTAGGAGAGTGGAAATGATAAAGAGGACCTTGGGTATGTCTAAAGGTGATTTTCCTTTCACTTATTTGGGCTGTAAATTGTTTCATGGAAGGAAGAAAGCTTCTACATTCCAGTTTCTTTTGGATGCTATGGATACGAAGCTTCTAAGTTGGAAGAATAAGTTGCTATCTCTTGGAGGTCGACTAATGTTAATCCGGCATGTTTTAAGCTCTATGCCAATTCATGTTTTCTCAGCCATTCCGCCTCCAAAATCGATCATTAATGAATTGGAAAGAAGGTGCCAAAGCTTTCTTTGGGAAGGTAGTAGTGTTGTCAAAAAGCGGCATTGGAGAGCTTGGGGAAGAGTTACCTTTCTGGTCCATGAAAATGGCCTTGGATTGCGGAGTTTCCATGATATCATCTCAGCCCTCACTGCCAAGTTATGGTGGAAGTTAAAACATAAAATGCAGATTTGGAACTCTTTTGCTATCCTTGTCTAAGGCGGCAAAGGAAAAAACATCTTGGTCTAGGGTAATGCAAATTGATGAAAAGGCAGCCACTGTCTCTAAGATCATCGTGCGAGGAGGTGATAGATCTTTTTGGTTTGATTATTGGGGGGGACATGGAGCACTTTGGAACTCATCACTCGGCCAGCCACCAAGACCGAATCTTACAATTCGGGAGTTTTTCCAAAACAAAAAATCATTTTTGGCTGAATTTCATGATTTCCTTGATCCTTTGATTCTTACTTCCTTGGAGAATTTGGAGTTTAATTTCTTGGCTGAAGTGGATGTGTTGGTGTGGAAAAATTCTTCTAATGACCAATTTTCGGTAAAACTTGCTTATGAAGCCCTTCGTTGTAAGCAAGTTACAGATCCAATATTGAAAAATATATGGCACCGAATTCTACCATCTCGGATTTCTTTATTTTTGTGGAGGATACGTAATGGTTTGCTTTCCTTCCTTGATGTCCTATGTACTTTTGGCATTGTAACAAGTCCTTCTATGTGTTTATTGCGTAGGAAGCAAAGTGATGGGATGATGCATTATTTCTATGGCTGTGAGTTTTCAATGGAAATTTGGAATCACTTTGCGGCTGCGATGAATATTCATACATGAAGTCAAGCTTCTCTAGTGGCGTTGCTGAAAATGTGGTAGAAGAGAAACTCTTTTACTTTTGCTAAAAAGTCACTTTACAACTTGTTCCCGGCTTTCATTCTTCGGGAAATTTGGAAGGCAAGGAACAAGGTGATTTTTGAAGGTACTAAAGCTACTCTTGGGTCTGTAATTTATTCTATCATGAATAATGTTAGGAGCTTGGTTTCAGTGCATGGATTAGAGGCTGACAATGGTGCTGAAAAATAATTTATTATGAATATGCTTGGCCTTAATTTGTCGCAAGTCAAAAAGAAATCTCCTAAGATTGTTAGATGGACTCCTTTGGGTCCAAACTCATATATTTTGAATTCGGATGGATCCTCTAATCTAAATGGAGCTAGTTATGGTTTTGTCATCCAAGGAGAAGGGGGTAGGTTTGTTTATGGTAAGTGTGGATACCTTGATGATGGTGATTCTCTGAAAGCAGAATTGTATGGCATACTATTTGGCTTGCGAAAGTGTACATTTCTACATCTTAGAAATGTGGTTGTTCAAATGGACAACAAGATGCTCTCGGATATATTGAAGAAGCAGGTGGGATTTCCTTGGAGGTTCTACTTAGAGATGACAGAAATGTGTTACATTTCCAAGCGGAATGGCTTTTCTATTGAACATATCTATAGAGAAGGAAACTCAAATGCCGACAGTTTGGCCAAGCTAGCATCAAGTGGAACTTCTTCTGTGATTAATATTTGCCATTGTTTCCATGTTTTGTGAGGGGACTTTTGATTTTAGATCAATCGTCCTTTCCATATTTACGTAGTTAGACTCTATAGCTTTGTAATGAGTAAGAATATACTCTACCCTTGGCAATTTTTATTTGATGACAATAAAATCGGAGAGGGATGGGACTAGGGAACTAAATGGTATGTATGTCCATCCCTTGGATATACCCCTTGGGTGCATTGTATCATTTAATACTGACTGCCTTAAAACATATCTCTTGGGTATACCCCTAGAGTATTTTTAAAGTAGTTGGAACCTAAAAATCATCCTTTCTTTCTATTTAAAAAAAAAAAAGTAATACACATCTAAAGTAAAGCTTTTTTACACTCCTAAAAATACTCCCAAACTCACAAAGCCCTATTGCCGACGGAAATGATGATTCCTGAAGCTCGAGAGGTACAGAGGATGGGTTCACAAATCAGATGAGTGGGTTCAACAAGTTTGCTGAGTGAGCAAGAAGAAGCTCATATTCATGTTCACGGCGCTGGGATTCAGGAAGAAGTCCCAGTTCATCAGCTATACCAGGGGCCACTTGTGCATAGGTCTCCAGTCCCAACTCATCAGCTCGTAGCTTTTGTCCCCGTACCCGTGCCACCTCCTCATGTCCCTGCGGGATGGGACAGCCAGGAGTCTCTTCGGAGACTTCAGGTTGCAGCTGGGGTTGCTCTGACCGGTCTATCTGCAGGGCTCGTGACTGCGAAGGAGAAGAAGGTAATAAAGGATGAGACGTTGTTCACAGTTGGAATAGGCCTTATCCTAGCTGATGCCGTTGCATTTATACTTTCTATGTATCTTATCGAGGTGGCAACTCCATTTGTGAAGAAATGGAGCATTAGGGTCACTTTCTGGTTGTTGGTTGTCTTAGTTGGGATCCGCTTAGGATTCCACACATGTGGAGGAGCTGTTCTGGCCGTGCGTGTGTTGGTCCTTTGCGTGGTAGTTTTCGTTGGCTCTATTTTACTTCTCTCTTTCTAGAGAGTCCATTTTGGATGATGTAAAATTAAGAATTATGAACTAGTTTCAGAATGACGGCTTATGCCGAAACTGCTGCACGATAAAAAAAAAGTAATACACTTTTTATTAATTTTGCTAGAAAATGTACAACAACAATTCCAACTTTCAATCTGTCAAATTAAAAAACCTAATCTTTTTGACTATGTACACACCTATTTTGATATAACCTATAATACAAACTAATTTGTTGATGGATCACATACTAGAATACTGCGTTTGAGGAGGGTTAGAGAAAGAAGCAATGCAATACTTGAAAAGAATAGAATGTGAATATGATTTGGAGACTTTGGTCGAGTTTTACAAGGAAGAAAACGTAGAGTTGCCGGTCTTAACTGCAGTGATGGTATTTATGTCCACTCTAGACCTATTGAACGATAAGTACTATTTGGGTCCAGCTCCTTTGGAGGACATGGCACGGCAAATCACAACTGCTAATGGTACTTGCAGCAATAATAAAGATTGTCTTTTTTTTTTTACTAGAAAAAACAATGTCCGATCTTGGCCATGAGAAAGATTACGTCATAGAACTAGCTAATGAAGTGATGAAAGTAGTTTTAAATCTCGGAATGACAATGGCAAAGGATAAGAGGTTGTTTGGATAATATCTTCCCTGTCTCAAATCCCTTGTATGTGCGATCAGTTTAAAGTTATTACTTATTGTTGTAAATAATATAACTGAGATATTGTAGTAAATTGAGGTTATTATATCACATGTAAGAAAATAGATTTACATTTCACAATATAGTTAGTTCTCTAAGTGTGTACTTTTTAGCTTTTACATTACATTAAATGAATAAATTCATGATAATATTATGAATTCTCAAAATATTCCCTTTGATTCTTTGGGACACAATTCAAATGAATTGATTAAAGTCCTCTACTATTTTAGTCTATAAGTGAGATTTTTAGTTTAGTCCACTATTATTTTTGTTATATGTCATGATTTCAGATATGAGTCTTTTTCAAAGTTTGATGGTCTCTTGAGCCACTCGACTTGTTTATATTCTTAAGTGAATGATTGTCACCTTCGGGACTACTATTTGATCAAGGGATTGGGAACCATTAAATTTTATATGTCCCTTACTAATATAATGCTAGAGGGGTAATTCTACATCAATTTTGTCGTTGTCCCCCTTAAGCTTTAATCTTTTTCCCCTTTTTGCACTCAACTCATAAATTATATTGGATTTTTTTTTCATAAATAATAAAGAGTGAACCATATTTTAGGTTCATATACTATGAGAGTGGTTCAACGTATGTATCTATATTAATTCATTCCCACTACAGGTTCCCATACTAAAAAAATTTATCTCAAGTCATTATGTTAATTTTCATCATTAAGTCCATATACTAGGCAATTTTTTGCATGCATTGCATGTAACTTGGGTTCAGCGGCAGTTTTGCCATTTTTTCTTCTCTCTTTTTTTTTTTGTTTTGTCTTTTCTAATTTTTCAAATTTTCTTCTTGGCTTGTATATGTTTGGTACTCGCATAATTACTCTCTTTCATGAAACAATTTACCTCTTATATTTTTTCAACTTGTAGGCAGTTAAAAAAACACGAAAATGAAGAAGAAAAAATTCGAGATGAGATTAATGTGAACGTTAGTAATTGAACATTTTTTTAAAAAAACATATCTGGACAGAAACTGCCGAAACAAGTTTTCCTCCCTATAATATAAATGTTATTCGCTTTAACCTATAATGATTATTTTCTTCATTTAATAATAATACTATAAAATTAGACAGTTATTTAAACCAAAAAATAATAAGTCAACTAGTCCACAACGATGACTTTTCACGAATTTGACTGCAACCATTTTCACTGAAATTACTAATTTTAGGAGAATCCAATGTTTGTCTATATTGTTTAGTTATCGTCACATTAAGAGCAATTAAATTAGTAATTTTTTTATTTAAATAATTACCTACTTTTTATAGTATTTTCTAATACATCCAACAAAATAATCATTTTAGGATAAGGAGAGTTGCATTTATATTTCACAATTAACCTATGTACTACATGAAGGAGAAACTTGTCTTGGCTATTTATATATACATATTTCTCTCTGTTTTTTTTTTCTCAATATGTAGATATGTTTATATATACATATCTCTCTCTCTCTATATATATATATATATATGTATGTGTATATATATATAGATATTAAATGATAATGAACTACTAATTTTCATATTATTTCATCTTCAATTTTCCGTTTTATTTTTTTGTGTTTTTTAAATGTTTTTGGTCCTTTTTTTATTATTTTTAGGGAAATCCAGGGCGTTACCTGGCGGGAGGACCCAAACGGAAAGAAACGTCTTACAAAGTTTTCTAGAAAACTCACGACGATTCTTGTGCAATTAATTCTAGGAACTGTCTTATAAAAATAATCTAATATCCCATGACAGTTCAGCTTCTAAACTAGCGATCCTAGGAATATGTCTTACAAAGATTATGCAATAATCCCTTGACATCTCCATCTAGAACCTATCTAATCCGTAGATATGGGAATAAGCACTTGTCTAAATACCATTTCCCAAACAATGATGTTGGGAGATGTGTTGTAGTATCATATTTTGAAGATGCCCCTTTAGATGCGTTTTTGGCTAATTCATCTGCCATGCTATTCACTTCTATGTACAAATGGATGATCCTCGAGTTTAATAGATGCAACAATCTTTGAATGCTTTTTAACTGCACATGATGTTTCCAAGGAAAATTGCAATTTCTTTGAATGATGGTGGCTATAGCTTTGTTGTCAGTTTGAACAACCATACGAGTTTTCCCTTTTTCTTCACAATGTTGTAATCCACTAAGAATTCCTTGGATCTCAGCTTCCATACTTGTTGCTAGTCCCATTCACTTGCTTTCAGCCCTAATAAATCTTCCTTCTTCACCTCTGAGTACATATCCCTAACCCACTGAACCTGGTTGCCCTAATACTGAATCATCTGTGTTGAGGGTTGTTTCTCCTGGATCCGGTGGCTGCCATCTTAAAGATAGTAACGTTCTTGCTTGAACCACCTCAATTTTAATATGAAACATTTCTTCTATATCCTTTTGCTCCCTTGAATCACGAGCTTTAAGCGTACACTGAGCATGCTGAAAATATGAGAGTTAATATCTTTAAGAATAAGCTCAAATGAAAAATCCATACCATCATAGATCTTTTTATTGCGACTCTTCCAAATCTCCCACAATACAAACACCGGAAGAACCCTTATTATTATCTTTTTAGCTGATTGTTTCCAATCCTTTGCCATTCACGCATAGATCCTTCCATCCTGCATGATAAGAATCAACAATCTCTAGATTAGCAGAAAAAAATTTCCAAACCCTTCTCACTCTACTACAATGAAAAAAGACATCATACAAAATGGACATCTAGAAGGTTTTGAATAGAGCCCTAATTTTTGCAAAACTTCACGAAAAGGAATCATTCCATTGTAAAGCTTCCATACAAAGAAAGATAACTTCAATGGAATGCATTTATGCCAAAAATTAGACATTAATGAAATCTTTTCTTTTTTCCCCCTAATTTCAGAATAAGCAGAAGAGATAGAAAAACTCTCTGAAGGTTCTGGCATCCACACTAGTTGGTCCTCCTTATCGCTAAATTGCACTTCCATGTGCACAAGTTGTTCCTTTATGTCTTGGCTCAATACATCTCCAAATTCCTGCAAATATAACAACTTAGAAGCAAAGAATTATTTAATAGTTAAATTAACCATTGGCGGAGGGTTATTCGTATTCCAAATAGGGTGCATTCCCAGCCATGTAGCAAACCAGAATGATGATGACCGTTTTCTAGCAATATCTTGCAGTGAGGTCTAGCCAATTGATCCACTTCCGCAACTCTTTTCCAATTCGTCTTCCCTTTCGCAGTTTCGGATAATGATGATACAAAGGCTGCTCATATTCCTTTTTGAGTGTGAATTTTCCACCACAATTTCATAGAGAAAGCAGTGATAACATCATCCAAATTCCTTAACCCTAAACCATATTCATCCACCGGGTGAACTAGCTTCCTCCATGTGCGTCAGTGTCTCCCAGACCCATAATCATTTTTCCCCCAAAGAAAATTCTGAAATTTCCTTTCCATCTCTAAAATTGTTGATCTCGGGGGACCAAAGAAGCAAATGTGTGTACTGGTAATGCAAGAAGAACATGCTTGATTAAAATCAATCTTCCTCCTGTTGACAAAATCCTTTTTTTTCCAATTCCCTAATTTTGCATCCATAGCATCAAGGAGATGTTGAAAGAACTCCACCTTCTTCCTGCCCTTGAATAAAGTACAACCAAGATACTTGAACGGTAGCTTTTCTTGCGGCATTTGCAGCGTAGTAGCGATGATGTCAAGTTGTCTCCCGCTGCTTGATTCCGATGTAATAAACATGCGTTTTTGCTTGTTTATTTTTTGGCTTTTGCCACCTCATAATCACTGAAGAAATCATTTAATCTCACCATTGAGTGCTTCAAGCCCTTAGTGACTATTACTAGGTCATCCGCAAAGCTTAAGTGTGACACAATACGCGATCCTGCGGGTGTACCATAGTGTGCGATTCTCCCAGCCTCCATTAGGGTTTTGATATTTCTTGATAATGCTTCCGAGACTAAGATGAATAAATAAGGGGAAAGGGGATCCCCTTGTTTGATTCCCCTTGTAGCTTTGAAAAAACCAATTGGACTTCCATTAAGGAGAATAGAAAACCAGCTTCTTTCAAGGTTGGCCATCACGAGAGCAATAAACTTCTTATGAAATCCAAACTTACTAAGAATCTAGTTTAGGAAACTCCATGAGACTCTATCAAACGCTTCATAATGTCCACTTTAATAAAAAGATTACCCCTCCCCGCCTCCCCCACGGTGAAGTATGATCTAGGAATTGCAGCATATCATTAGTTAAAATGTTGTCAACAATACCGCGCCCCTCAACAAATGCTGATTGTTCATCCGAAATCAATCCGGAAAGTAGTGGTTTCAATCTTTGTGTAAGCAGCTTCGTAAAAATCTTGTTGATGAAGTTACACATGCTAATCGGTCTGAAATCCACAAAGGAAGTAGCTGTCACCTTTTTTGGAATCAAGGTCATGATATTGCTTCCAATTGCTCGCGGAATTGGAGTTCCGGCAAAGAAATCCTCACAAGCTGCTTGAAGATCGTGACTAATGATAGACCAACAACTTTGGTAGAAGTCTCTCCCAAATCCATCAACTCCAGGAGAGCTGGAAGGGTCTAAACTGAATACAGCATTTTTGATCTCCTCCGTTGTCAGCATTTTCAACAAAGATGCATTTTCCTCTTGCGTCACCATCGCTGGAATATTTTGAAGTATTTCATGGCATGCTTCTTCATGCTGCGGAGAGTCCTCTTTTGTAAGCAACTTTTGAAAGAAAGAGATTGCTTCCTGCTCAATTTCTTTGCTTTCAGTAATCCATATACCATCCGCTCTCCGTACCTTATGAATTCCAAGTCGCGCATGCTTTTCTTTTAAAGATACATGGAAAAATGAGGTGTTTAAGTCTCCTTCTTTTAACCACTTTATTCTGGATTTTTGATGTAGGAAATCTTCCTGCTCCTTCAGCTTATCAAAAGATGAGCTTGTGATTGATGCAAAGCCATGCGATTATCTTCACTGGTTGATTGATCATACTGTCATTCCTTGATACGGACATCCTCTTCAGCCTCCTTTAGATTTTGAAAAACATCCCCAAATTCAACCTTATTCCATTCCTTAAGTCGTGCCTTTAACCTTCGTAACTTTAAAGAAAAAGCTAGCATGCCATGGTGATCAATCGGTTGCTCCCAATTCTCCTTAACAACCTCCAAAAAATTATTTCTTTGAAGCCACATTTTCTGGAATCTGAAAAGTCTTGGTTTTGCTTCCATCTCAGCTTTATATTGCAACAATAATGGTGCGTGGTCTGAAGTTGATCGATTAAGATGATGAATCAAAGCTACAGGAAATAATGTCAACCACTCTTGAGTGAAAAGTAATCTGTCCAGCCTTTTCAGAACTCGTCCATTTTGTCGCATACCTTTCCATGTATGTAAATTTCCATCTGGTGGGAGCTCTAGTAGATTACCGTCATTGATTAGATCATTGAACTCGTCTAATGCACCCATATCTTGCTGTGAGGATCCTTCATATTCCTCTAAATTCCGAATAACATTATAATCTCCCCCAACAACCCAAGGCACTCCATCATTATTCTGCTTAAAAGTCAGTAATTCAGACCATAACTCCCTTCTTTCTTGCTTGGTGGATTTTGCATATACTGCTGATAATAAGAAGGAATGTGCTAATCCAAGATGCTCTACTTTGAGGTGCAGAACTTGCTATTATCCCCCCATCTCGGTTATTACCCAGTCCTTAGATGGAAGCACCCAAATTTTACCAGAGATTGACGATACAACTGAAGTGAAATGCAACTTATTCCTCAACTCTTCAAGTTTCGAAATCGGCTGCATTGGCTCCTGTAACATTACTATAGAAACAGCGTGCGATCCAACCAGATTTTTTAACCTTTTGATCGATGCTTTATTCCTATACCTCTAACATTCCAATTTAAGATACTACTCTTTGAAAAGATTTAATTGAAGAGTCACCAAGCAATCTCGTCGATCGATGAGTATCCGTACCCTTAGCGCGAGCAATTTTTGTCGATCCCCTTGGCCTTCCTCTTTTTTTCTTTTGATCTTCTCCATTTGAGACTACCAGTCTAACATCTTCCATATCAGATTCCTGATTTCCAATATCACCGTCATCCCGAGTTACATCTTGTTGGCTTATAACAGGAATTTCGATCCCAGAATCCTCATATGCAAGTTCTGTTTCTGAGTCGCTTGCAATTTCATCAATTATCCCATCATTCACTTTTTCCTGTTCCTCTTCTATAGAAGGGGGCTGATCCTCAGAGAGATCTACTAAATTATCAAAACGAGATGACAAATTTAACGGGGGAATCAAAATCGTGGCCTTTTTGTAGTCAACAAGTTGCCTCTCCGTATTCTCATTATAGTTTGCTATATCATCATCTTCCCATGTATTTTTCAAATTTTCTTCCTGTGAATTCGTTTCCAAGATGGCACTCAACCTTTCTTTAGAAAGCAGCCGTTTATCTTGTGGAATCAATGGACTTGAATCTCCAATATCTGTTGGAATACCTTTCTTTTCAGTCTCCGTCAGACCTGATGTAGATCCATCTTTGTGTTGATTATTTTCCTTCCCCTTAACTGTTTCCTCTGTTTCCTTCGTCTTCCATGCATGATTTGCAGATTGGGGCTTATTCTCATGTCCGGTCAACATCTTTGTTCCTTCTTTGGTCACCAAGAAGTTAAAAAATACAAAATGTAAATTGTTTCTTGAAAGATAGTAATTATGCCAGTATCAACATGTACAATCAGAAGAATCGGTTAAATTTTTTTTGACAAAATAACAAAATTACCCCTAGACCCAAGTCACATGTAATGCACGGGAAAAATAGCCCCACAGTTAGAACATAATGCTAAAAAATATAATGCCTTGGGATAGATTTATTTTTTTTAATTCAGTAAGGATATCTGTGGTAGGAATAAATTAGTACAGATATCTATGGTGAACCACTATTACTGAATACGGCTTGAATAATGACATTTAAATAGAACTCTTCATGGTTGAATAATGACATTTAATAGAATGCTTCAGGGCCATATGCTATACAATTCCCTCGCGACCCTTTTGTATATTTGATGGGCGTCGAGACCACCAAAATAAACCTACTTAAAACTTATAGTAATTAATAAGAAGGGTCGATTCCACAGAGACAGGAAACTCTTGATGAAAATTGGGATCCAATACCAGAACACAAGACAGAAGCAAAAACAACAAATTGGCAAGTGAGTTTATCACTTGGCAAAGTGATGGGAGCCTAGGGTCGTCCTCCACTCTACTCTATATGCATATGTGTTGATTCTTTTAGCTCTTTATGTGGTATGAAACTGTATTCAATCAGGCACATAAACACTGTAAGGTCACTTCCGATATTTCAAAAAACAGTCCTAATAGTAACCAGTAAACTAACTTCCGTTGTCGACTCGAAATTTCTACTAAACCATTAAGATCTTCGGCCCTTAGGATTGCCTCGTGCCAAACAACTAACTTCTGTTATTGTTTGAAACATAACACTGTTACTCTCTCGGGTTAATTCTAGAGGTTCTAAGTTAAGTTTATCCTTCCAAGATTCCCCTAAAATTCTATCACAATTATTTTGAATGGCTTGTTCAACCTAAAAAGATAATTGAAACTCTATAATTAAGCATACAAATATCATTCAAGAGCATGAATCAAAACTTAATTATATAGAGTAGAGGGATTAGACCCTAGCAATGAGTTTAGCTACTCATAGATTGGAGCTCAAATACCACAAAGTTCAGGTGTTGAGACTCCATCCTGATTACAACAGAAAGAGAAGAAAACAGGGAAAGAGTAAACTCAGGAAATGTGGTAGTGTGCAGCTGACTTCACAGAGTCGGTTTCTCAATTCCCCAAGTGACACCCCTGAGTCTACCTTCTAGAGTTTACTATCCTAACTGAACTGAACTACACTAACTATTCTACTTCTAATTGTTTTTGGGTCTTTGATGCCTTCATCTTCATGCTGCTGCTGCCTTTTATAGAGGTTGGGGGATAGATCTTGCTTAGGATATGTTTGTTTCATTTTTTTAGTGTGTGTTTTTAGGTATTTTTTGTATTGAAAATGTAAAAACGTGTATTGAAAATGTAAAAAGGTATGCTGGGATGGGACAGTTATTATTATTTAATTCTGAAAAAACCAACTAAAAAAGAAAACAAACAAACATGCTGGTCTCCTCCTTACCCGATGGGTTTTTATGCAAAATAAAAGAGACCCGTAGTTCTCCCAACTTCACCCTTACCTCTAATCATCATTTGGAGAGATTTAGTTGAATAACTCCAGCATTAAGGCACATCAATCTTCTCCAATGTCAGCAGCATCACTTCACCAACGGCTCTTCTTCCTTAGTTTCAAAGGATTGCTTCAATTTCTTCCTTCTTCCCGCCGGATTCAGCCCATCTCAGCCCTTGCACGATCAGTCCCTGCAGCTACTTCCAATTTGGCCTGAAATTTCACCAATTTACCACATTTTGCCACATTTTCTGCTCATATTGCATTTCATCCCCTGAATTACCAGAAGTCATCAAATTAGCCTATAAACATATAATCTTAACCTAATTGACCTATAATTAAAGTATAAAGAGATAAAATTGATGTCAAAAAAATAATATGAAATGCACTCATCAATATTATCTGATTTAAAAGCTCCATTGATTCGAATCAGGAAACCATTGGTTGCATGACCTCTTTAGATCTCCGAGGTTCCAAAAACACATGCTCCATGCTTTCCCCGTTGTTCTCTACATCAAAGACACTGCAAATGGTTTGTGATTTTCCTCTGCTCCAGAGCCTGAAGAGCGTCATGGACAACTCTCCAAATGAGCCACCAGATCTTTGCGGGTATTCTAAGTTTCCAGAACTTTTTCCACTCTTGGATTGTGTAAATATATATGGGGGTGTGAATTGAAAATTTTAATTTTTTTTTTTATCTTTTATGAAGTGAGGGGAATATTGGTATGTGAACTACAATGATACGTTCTACCACCTTTTCTAGAAACATGACGTTCAATAGTGAAGTATTCCAATAGCCATGTTCATTCAAAAGATCTTCTACTTTCAAATCCAACACTCCCTGAACAAGCCGCAATTCGAAATGCATATATAATGAATAAAATTTTACCCCTTAAGGAAAAAAAGGAAAAAAATATTCGAACCTACCGCTCTATTAATGTTTAGTCATAAATTTATACTGAGATTCTTTTTCTCACTCCTATTGTGATGGCCTTATTTTTATATTCTATAAGCTATCTTTATCTTTTTTTAAAAAAAATAAAAAATAAATAAATGTCTTACATTAAACTTGAACTCATGGAAATGAGTATAGTTTTGGTCTTTTTAAGATTATTTTAAGAAAAATATTCTGGGTCACAAATAAATGCACTACGTAATTTTTTAAATTGTCTCTATTGTACAACCTATTTATATTAAACATTTTTTTTGGGTAATAAATTAAGTCAACATTTGTAAGCACACATATGACGCTTCTTAATTCCATATATATATATAGGGAACGGCTAGAGTCCGGTTATGGGACAATTCCATATTAATTAATAACCGTAGGATCAACTTAGCTAACTGATCAAGATAGCAGGTATGCCAATCATTTTTCCTTTTATGCGGTTATTTGATCATTAACCGTCAACGGCTTCTCCGATGTGATCTCACGTCTGCGATGGCAAGGAAGGCGAAGAATCAGGGGGAAACAGCTACAAGCAACACCACTAAACAACCAGATGAGGAAAAACGACATCCAATGGGCGAATTCACACTGAATTGTGGAAGTTCGAAAGAGGTATCAAAACCTAACTCTGCATTTAATTTGTCTGAATCGCAATTAATGCTGAAGAGTTTAGGTAATAATCACATAATTATTGTGGGGGAAGGTTTGGGAGTGAAGAAAAGGAACAATAACTCTTAATCTGATACGGAAGTAGAGATTACTGAGTCGAATGTATGGAATTCTTTTGATCCTATATCACTCCAGCAGAATGATAAGAAGCTGAGGTATATTGAGCCTAAGAAGGTGAATGATCGTGTTATTAGCAAAATTACAAAAGAGGAAGTACAAAATGAGATCGATTACTGGAAATCTTCAGTATTATGCTATGTACTTGGTGCAAATCCTCCGTTTCCAGTAGTAAATGGATATATCAGAAGAAATTGGGAACGTCTGGGAGTGGATAAAGTTCTATTACTGGAAAATGGTATATTTGTGGTTAGATTCAAGTCATTAGCAGCAAAAGAGGAAGTGCTGAAATTCAACTTGTACCACTTTGATAACCGGCCTTTCATTGTAAACGATTGGTCAGTTGAGGAAGAGATTAATATGGATGAAATTCTAAAGGTGCTAGTGTGGATTCAAATGCCAAAGTTGCCATTGAGATACTGGAATGCAACCTCACTCAGCAGAATTGCTAGTTCTGTTGGCAATCCAATTGAGATGGATGATATGACATCTCAAAAGCTGAGAACAGGATATGCTCGTGTACGGTAGAGGTTGAAATAAAGGAGAAATTACAAGATGTGGTTTGGTTTGAAAATGAAAAAGGGGAATTGCAGGAACAGGAGATCAGATTAGAATGGAAGCCATTAAAGTGTCACAATTGTAGAGGATATGGTCATGAAACTGAAAAGTGCAGAGTTCTAGTAAAGAAGGAATGGTAGCAAAGAACACCAGAACAAGTGAAAGGAAGACAGCCATTGAAGGATAAACAGATAGAGAAAGAAGGAGAAGGAAAACACAACCAACAAAGCAGGCCTATGACAGTGGCTATAAATAAGAGTCAGGAGGCAAAAAAAAAAGAACTGTATAAGATCACCTCAGAAGAGTGACAGTCAGAAAACCAACAAGATCCCAGGTTCCAGTCAAGGTACAATGGAGGATGGAGTGCAAATTTTGAATCAGAAAGGCATCAGGAAAGCTGAAGGAATGTTAACTGACAAATTGAAATCAGTTAACTCTATATGTTATAATGATACTAGTCACCCTGATCCAGGGTCTAAGAATCATGAATAGCATCAGTTCATGGAATGTAAGGGGACTTAACAGTCCCTTGAAGCATAGTGAAATCACTAATTTCCTCTATGTTAACAAGGTTGGGATGGCAAGATTGATTGAGACTAAGCTAAATGGTGATAATGTGGAACAATTAATGGCAAGGAAATGGACCAATTTTGATTATATCAGTAATCATCAAAACCAAGAGAAAGGCATGATACTGTTGATGTGGAAGAAAGGAGAGTATGTAGTAGCAGCGAAAACTATCACAAAACAGTTTATACACTGTTTGGTGCAAGAGTAAAGGAAGGAGTATTATTTGACAGTGGTGTATGCTGATCATACAGTTCAAGGCAGAAGTCAACTTTGGCAGGAGTTGGTGGACTTAGCCAAAGGAATACATCAACCTTGGATAATGATGGGTGATTATAATTGCCTTTTGAGCCATGAAGAAAAGATGGGAGGGAGGAATGAAATTAGTTCTGATTCAGACAAATTCAGGAAATGATTGAGGCATGTGAATTATGACAGATGCAAACATATGGGGGGGAGTTTACTTGGAGCAATAAACAAGTAGGAGATCAAAGAATATGGGCTAAGCTGGATAGAGCTCTTGTTACTGATGAATGGTTGACA